ATCGAAAAGCAACTCATTGATAATGAGAATCGTTGCCAACGTTTCTCATCATCGATTTAATCGATTAGTTGTTGCAGCTCTATACCAAGCAGCATGTCACCTAATAACGACAGTGTGGACATGGCTCCATCAAGCAATTTGCTCACACTGAGCATACATCAATTGTGGTCCCCCTTTGATCCCTACCTTGGTGCCCGGCGGGAATTCCATTGACACTCAAGACGCATCCTACTATTGACCCCCCTTCAGTCGCAGATTCTTTACGAGAGCTCCCCTGCACCGTCTCCTCTATTATAATAAGTAAAATTGTACATGGGGAGTCCCAAGATTTTAAATAAAGTGAGGGGTGTTGTAACCCCAAAAATAAAATGGCCACCAAATGTGTTCTATCAGGAAAAAAAAAGAACAGAAAAATGGATGAATGCATTTTTGATGCGTTTCCATACGTTCCAGACCAGAGAAAATGAGAAGCCAGTATTTTTTTTTTGTCTGGACTGGAACGGACTGAGCTGGTGTGAACAGAGTCCACAAATACCATTGGAATGTTTTTTTGGTCCAGGAACAAACTGTTCTGGTCTGGACATGGTGTGAACAAGCCCGCACTCTGTCTTGCTATTCTTCTTATTGGTTCCACGTCTACATTTATTTTATAGGAAGAGAAGTCAGTGGTTTCCAACCTGTATAACCTCAGGACCCACATTTGTCCTCGGTCATTAAAGGAGAACTATGGGGTCAAGGCTTTTCCCCATAGTTCCCCTAAGGGTGACGGGAGGACACAAACTAGCGTCCTCCCGTCACCCTAAGCTCAGTATACCGCGAGCTACAGCTGAGACCGTCGTAGCCGGGACGGATCCCGACAATGCTGTCTGGATCTACCCAGCTGTGTGATTGACAGCTGGCTCTGCCTATCTAGAGGCAGAGTCAGCTGTACCCGCCCCCATCCGTTCCACCAGTCAGCGCTGGAGGATCGGACAGAGTAGGGGGGAAACCCCTGCAGGGAGCCGAGTCACGGCTCTCTGCAGGGACAGGATTTGGAAGTGAGCGAGCGACGGTATGTGTTCTCTCACTTCCCGATCTATTGAGCCGACCTGTGACAGACTCATTGTCACACGAAGGCTCGAACTATGAGGTGAGTGTAAAGCACATAGTTCTAGCCGACCTGTGACAATGAAACTGAGCGTTTGCTCACCTCTCGATCCTGTCACGGCTCTCTGCCGTGACAAGGGAGGGCCTGGATTCCCCCCTCCCCGCTCTGATCCGCCACCGCTGACTGGCGGATTGGACTGGGGAGGGGGCGGGTACAGCTGGCTCTGCCTCTAGATAGGCAGAGCCAGCTGTCAGTCACGCAGCTGGGCAGATCTCGGCACAATTGTCGGGATCCGCTTCAGCTGCAGCGTCTCAGTATATAGGGAGCTGTAGCTCGCGGTATACTGAGCCTAGGGTGACGGGAGGACGCTAGTTTGTGTCCTCCCGTTACCCTAAGGAGAACTATGGGGAAAAGCCTTAACCCCATAGTTCTCCTTTAAGTCACCACCCAAGTCGCACCTCACTGTGGGCGAGAGGTGTATTTGGCAATGCAACGGACCTCCCGCACCAGCTCCCCCATGGGCAATGGGCATATCCCCAACCCACCCCACCTCAAGTTGACAATGACAAGGACCAAGCAGCATATTTTGAATAGCTGCTCGGCCCGAGAAGTGACAATGCTGCGCTATGGGGGAGGCTGAAGAGGCCCACCTAGTGCAGTGGAAGGCATGCTGTGACCCACTGAACATGGGGTCGCCACCCACCAGTTGAGAACCACGGTTCTAAGTCGTGTTTGATATTTCCTTTATATATCTGAACATATACGGTATGCATCGGCTGCATTGACTCTATAACTTCCCACATCGGGCCCCACAGGTCTACGGAGAGGAGCGGAGACTGCCATAGGATGTTCATTTCTCAATACTCAGGACTGTATGGTCTGTTCCGGGTGCTTGTACCACCTGTATGCTGTTCTTTCTACTATGGGCACTCATGGCTGTTGTGTTATTTACATGTTTCTGTATTCCTGCTATTTGTCTTTTGTGACCTCAAATGAAAAATGTATTTAAAAAAAGGAGAATGTGAACGGTGGAAGCTGCACCAAAACATGACGAAGAGGACTGAGGACAGAGGACTAGTATTTATAATTATGGCAAAACAAAAGAATGCAATTCAAACGGAAAATTGATGCACAAAATGATAAAGTGCACACTTTAATGGTATAAATATATGACATTATGACAATGTTATAAAATGATTTCCTATATACACCAGGCTCATTGATTTCATATCTGTCAGTAAATATGTAATGTCTGTCATGCCCCTGAGTAGTACGTTTTCGCATTTATATAACATGACTGTAAATGATTCTTGTACGGTGACTCTATGTCACGGACAATCTATCTTCATATTTGTATTACAAGAGATTGAAATTTCCTCTTCTCCCCGGAGATTCCGCCACATTTCCTGTAAGTGATCAGTACGTAGAGTAGAGCCCAGATCTGATCGATCAGCCGCTCATACAGGGGTGTGGAATTCCTATTGGCCAACGCCGGGGACATGCAGTTCCAGGCAGGGGCGTCCCGAGGCTGGACGACACCCGGAGCGGATACCGCCGTGACGTCATCGCGCATGTGCGTGAAGTTGCTGCGCATGGGCGATGACGTCTTATTGACGCCTGCAGAGAGAGGAGGGGACGTTCACCCGGCGGCATGAGGTATGCCGCCGGGTCCCATCCTCTCTCCTGATACTGTCTGGCTCTCGTTCCGTGACCGAGTGCCCGACTTTTCATAGGGGGTGACACCGAAATGACTGTCAGTCATTTTGGTGTCACCTCTCCTTTGGTGGCACCCGGGTGCGGGCCGCAGCCCCTGCACCCCCCTTGTGACACCACTGGCTCCAGGTGCCGAGGTAGGTGTTTTGTTTTTTTTCTACATTCAACCCTGCTTCAGGCAAGAAGGGCTAAATGTAGAGCGGGGAAGCCACCACTCATTTTGTACAAGTGATCTGGGTGGCCCGCTGTTGTTTTTAGGGTCTCCCCCTCTTCTGGGGGACCTGGGACCACGCTAGTGATTTCAGGATGGAAAGCAGCGAGCAGAACGGAGAATGTCCATTTTCCGATCCGCTCTGCGTGATCAGTAACACAAAAGCGCTGTACTCGCAAAGCTTCTAGTTTTTTGCTGTCACAACCCGGACTGTACAGTAGATCAAGCACAATGCTGAGCTCGATCTCCTGTACCAGAGGGCAGGCTCCATAAAGAGAACCTGTCACCTCCAGACGTTATCCCATAGGGGCTTGTTAGCCCCAAGCCTAGGTGATAGCAATAAAGTTTAAAGGAGAACTATGGGGTCAGTGTTTTTCCCCATAGTTCTCCTTGGGGTAACGGGAGGACACAAACTAGCGTCCTCCCGTTACTCTAAGCTCAGTATATAGGGAGCTACAGCTCGCGGTATACTGAGACGCCGCACCTGGAGCGGATCCCGACGTAGCTGACGGGATCCGCCCAGCTGCGTGAGTGACAGCTGGCTCTGCCTATCTAGAGGCAGAGCCAGCTGTACCCGCCCCCTCCCCCGTCCGTTCCGCCAGTCAGCGCTGGCAGATCGGAGCGGGGAGAGGGGAATCCAGCCCCTCCCCCTGTCACGGCAGAGAGCCGTGACAGGATCGAGAGGTGAGGGAACCCGGTATGTGTTCGCTCACCTCCCGATCTACTGAGCCGACCTGTGACAGTCTCATTGTCACAGGTCGGCTTAGAACTATGAGGTGAGTGGAAATCACTCACCTCATAGTTCTCCTTTAAGGTAAAAAAAACAAAAACTAAAAAGTGTTTAAAATAAAATGTAAAAAGGGATACAAATTAAAAAAATAATAAAACCCACCCCTCCCCTCCAGCCATATGCATGCAAATAAACGCACATGTAGGGCATTGTGTATGTGTGCGCTGAGTACAGCCCCCCTCCCCATTCCTCTGTGCACCTTATTGTGGTAGCCGGGCAGCAGCGCTCTCTAACAGGCACAATGTGCATTAAAGGGTAAGCTCACTTTCCCAAGTAATTGGGAAAATGGAATTACCCGCTGGCATCTGCCCCCCGCCTGATATACTTACCTTTCGGCGAACGGTCCTTCCCCTCCACAAGTACAGATGTATGAACTGCACCCCATACTTAGGATTAGGACCCTGCTTTAGTCCTTGGACAAGTTTTTTTTAAATTTCCACACCCCTGTCATGGCACAGATTTAAACCAGAGATTGTAACTTTTACTTTCTGTATGATATGCAGCTCTTATTTCATCCATTCTCCTCCAGAGTTCTATACTGCACAGCTGAAAAGTCCCCAAAACCCAACATGGTACCCTCAGTAGTACCTGCACCCTATTAGAGATATTCTTATATCATCCCCACCACACATTGTTCTCTCAGCAGAATCCACATCACTAAACACTCTGCACTCCTGTCTTCCACTTACTTCCCCAATTTCTGTATGACATCCTCTGGGTCTACATTCTCTGACAGCTCTCCTCCACCACCATCCACACTACATTCTCTGACATCTCTCCTCCACCATCCACACTACATTCTCTGACAGCTCTCCTCCCACCATCCACACTACATTCTCTGACAGCTCTCCTCCCACCATCCACACTACATTCTCTGACAGCTCTCCTCCCACCATCCACACTACATTCTCTGACAGCTCTCCCCCCACCATCCACACTACATTCTCTGACAGCTTTCCTCTCAATGTCTACTGTAGCTTCTGTTGATGGATACTTTCAACATGTTTGCTATAGCAATAATCTTTTGAGGTTTCTGTAAGCATGCTTTTTAGCCCATTGACCAACAAGGTAAGGAGAATCCTTCTTCCTGATGACCACCCTTTTTCTTTTATATTCTACAGTTGGACTATCTTACAATTGTTCTATGCACTAAAAACAGTTCCACCTGTGAAAAGCCATCGTACATTTAACAACAAAAATCAGCTGGTGCTGTCTAATGAGACTTCTTTTACCTGTAAAACATTTCCTGCAGTCATAAAGCAGTGAGGACGCTCCACAGTATGTTTTCTCTGGTGTGTAAGAAGTTTATGTTTCTCGATGAAAGATTTTCCGCACTCTGAACACGAATAAGGACGTTCACCCGTGTGAATTATCTTGTGTTTCCAAAGTGTTCCTTTATAAGCAAAGGATTTCCCGCACTCTGTACATGAATAAGGCCGCTCACCTGTGTGAATTCTCTGGTGTTGAACAAGTAATACTTTATTAGTGAAAGATTTCGCACAGTCTGAACATGAATAGGGACGCTCACCCGTGTGAGTCCTCTGGTGTTTAATAAGGGATCCTTTCTGAGTGAAAGATTTCCCGCACTCTAAACATGAATGAGGACGCTCACCTGTGTGAATTTTCAGGTGCTGAACAAGGACTACTTTATGAATGAAAGATTTTCCGCACTCTGAACATGAATAAGGACGCTCACCTGTGTGAATTTTCAGGTGTCTAACAAGGTCTCCTTTCTCAGTGAAAGATTTCCCACACTCTGAACATATATAAGGACGCTCACCTGTGTGAATTTTCAGGTGTTTACCAAGGTCTCCTTTCTCAGTGAAGGATTTTCCGCACTCTGAACATGAATGGGGGCGCTCACCGGTGTGAAATCTCTGGTGTTTAGCAAGGGCTCCTTTCTCAGTGAAAGATTTCCCGCACTCTGAACATGAGTAAGGTCGCTCACCCGAGTGAATTTTCTGGTGTTGAGTAAGGGTTCTTTTCTCAGTGAAACTTTTCCCGCACTCTGAGCATGAATGAGGTCGCTCACCTGTGTGAATTCTCTGGTGTTTAACAAAGTCTCCTTTACGAATGAAACATTTTTCACACTCTGAACATGAATAGGTTTGCTTACCCGTGTTAATACTTTGGTGTTTAAGAAGGTTTTTGTTTTCAGTGAAAGATTTCCCACACACTGTATGTGAGAAAAGATTTTCACCTCTTTGATCACCTTCATGGGGTGAGGAAGATTCCTTGGGATTAGATGGATCTCTTGCAGTGTGAGATCTTAGATGGATATTTCCAGTCATAGTATGTGAATGATCAGAAGATTCACCCTGATCAGAGGGATCCATTGATGTCTCCAAACAGTGAGGTCTGTGATGTATATTTTGTGTGTTTGGATTCACTCCTGGAGAATCCTGTGTGATGACATTATTTTCTGACTTGCAATCGGCAGATAATATAAGATGTCTCTCCGAGGTATTCCTGACATCACATCCATCTGCTGGAGAGAAATTATTACACACGTCAGTAATCAGTCATGTATGTTGGTCTTGAAGTCATCACAGAGCTCTGGCATGATATTGGGTACAACGTAACACGACATGTAAAAACAAATGAGTTAAAGGATAAAACACCCAAAACAAACACCCAAAACAACTCTGACACACTGGGCAAAATAGTTTTGTGAATTGATCACGGCTATGGAGAAGAAGATCACGGCTATGGAGAAGAAGAGAGATGGACCTTTTCTGGAAACATAGCTCTGGTGTCTAAAGCAACCCCACCATCTACCAGAACTTGTGCCCACCTCTGTCCTTCTATCAGGGGTGATCAGACAAGAGCAGCAAAAGAAGACCTTCCTCGTCACTTCAGGCTCATACCCAGGTAGGAGACTAAGTACAAAGTCCTTAGCAGATGGTACCGCCCCCCAGGAACCTCTACACAGACTCTATGACAGGGTTTCGGATGTCTGTTGGATGTGAAATTCGGAGGTGGGCACGCTACTTCATGTTAATGGGCCTGCCTAGCTTTGTCACAATTTTGGTCTTTCGTTCGCACCACTGTACGAAAACTTTCAGAAACAGATATTCCTGCTGATCAATCTTCCTGTTGGATAATACACACATGTCCCTACATACCAAGCCTTTGGCGAAACCCTTCCCCTCCTATATTATCTATGTGGATACGCAGGGCTGAGGAGATTAGAGAAATGGAGGACCTGATTCCGACCTCCCAGAATAGACATGAGCGGCATTTCAAGACTTGGTACTACTGGACAGAGTTCATGGAACCTTGGGAAAAATGAAAAAACTTCAAGCAAATTACAATAGCTGCAGTGGGGCTACACCACACACGACAAGGGTTTAAGCGCTTATTTTGGTCTAGGGTCTAAAATAAAAAATACTCACCTGATCTTTGATCTTACCTCGAGCTTAGATCAGTCCCCACAGCCTCTTCTCCTCTGGCCTTCAGCAGTCTAAGCCTAGTTGACGTCCTTACATTTCATACGAGTCCATTGAGTTGCATCGGACATGAGGACGCCAAGAGACATATCACAGTCAGAGCCGAGAGGGAGAGAGATGAACGGTCACTGTCACAGGATCAAGGATTGGGCGAGTATTTCTTTTTGATTTTAGACCCTAGACCAAAATGAGCACTTAACCATTGCAGTACAGGGGTAGCTCCACTATAAGGGTTAGTTTGTCATTTGCACAGAGTTTACATTTTTCAGTCCAGGGTTTGTGGATGTAAACCATCATTCCTCCATGACAATGGACCCAACATTTGTATGTAGAACATTTGATGAGAGTTTATTTGTTGTAAATGACCCCCAACCATCCTAACACTAATCAGGAGATGACGACCCCTTCATCCTACGATAGGGGAGATGACTTCTTCTGGGGGAATCTTCTTCCCAACCTTGACGGTCCACCATTTATAATTCAGTCTCATCTTATCTGATGATGTGAAGATACTTACTTGTGTTGATCGGTAGAGAAATGTCATCCTGATCACTTTTCATCATCATCCCGACCTCCTCCGTGGACGGCCGGTCACCCCCCACATACGTCTCCACTTCTTCCTCTTTAACCTCAACTTTTATGATGACCCGTTCTTCACCCTAAACCCCCAAAATAATAGAAAAAACATCTCATAAAGCTGAACTCCGGGGAGATCTAAAAGACACAAAGGAATGCAGCTCTGTATTTGTTAATACATCATCACACGTGTTTTTCTAATGCAACAGTGCAAGTACCTGAATGTGACATGGTATTAGGTTCTTACAGTCCCTGTACAGCAAAGCACAGAGAGAGAGAAGCAGCACAAGGAACCCATCAGCTAGGCTGCAGGGCTAATAGGGGTCATTGTGACTGGAAGAAAGTGCAGAGTGACAGAGAGATAAGCTCATCGGGGGGCACAAGATCGGTAGGTGTTACTGACCTACAGCAGAGAAGAAATACCAGGTATCCTGCTCTGCCCGTTTGATGGAAGATCTTCTACCTATTTCATCTGAGCCAAGGACCCTCATCTTGGGTGCACATGTAAATGTTAAACCAAAAGACTACATAGAAGAATGTTGTCTCTCAAAGTTCACAATGACTTCTGTGTTCTATATACCGAGTCCTACCTACCTGATCACGGTGAGGGATGTTCTGATCTTCCTGTTTGGAATCCCGGGAATACAGAGGATGAGGACATCTCTCTGGTCGGTTTGTGTCACTGAATGGCTCCATTATGACCTCCTTGAAGGAGTCTTTGTGTCCTTCGGAAAACTCTCCCATCACACCACCCTCTTCTTTTATCTCATCTTTAACATCATTATCACACTCACTCTGGATATTGAGAACAATGAGATCAGATGTAACTACATAGATAATGAAGAGGTCAAAAGTATCAGCAATTATGTCTGTATTTAACCTCATGAGGGACGGTGAGATCTTCCTGTGTGGGATCCCGGGAATACAGAGGACGGGGACATCTCTCTGGTGGGTTCCTCTTATTGGATCCATCTGTAGGAAACACACACACTGACTGAATACATTGTTTCTATGTGTGTATCAGATGATGGGGGATCTAGGTGGACCCTCCGTACTGCTCTCTCCTCTTACCCGGTAATGTGAGGGGTGGCTCATTCTCCATCACCACGTCCTTGTAGGGATCCCGGTGTCCTTCTAAATACTCCTCCATGGAATTATCCTGACACCTTATAGGAACCTGACACACAATGATACAGTCACCATCCAGACACATCCCTTGTCTGTTCCTGGATCATGTCCCAGATTCCCGGCACCGCTCACCTCTCCTGTCAGCAGCTCAAAGATCTTGTTGGCGACTTCTAGAATATTTTATCACGGTTTGCCTCTGTTGTCAGGCGGTGAGGTGGAAGCTCTGTGATGGGTGATATCTGCTGAAGACACTTCCTGAATTTTAATGGCTCACAAGATATATTGGGCACTATTCTGTAATCCTGTTTGAAGGAAGAAGGTAACAATTATCAATGAAGACTTCCCATAATCCTCCTGATCTTTCTTTTATCATTAAAGTGACACTAAACTCAGGTGTTAAATCTTAAAAATACATTCAAGCACCTTAAATATTAACAATAATGTCTCTTATTTGTGTATCACTCGGCTGTAGATCCTCAAATCATCTCTGAATTGGTACTGACACGGTCCTTCCTTCTGGAGGGTGACTACTTTAAATCCCCATTGTCCTTGTGTGTGTTGTAAAGTAGTCACCACTCCAAGCTCGGTTCCGTAATGGACTACAATCTCTACTAATTTGTACCGGAGTTATGATATATAAGGCAGGCGGCTCTGGATGGACAGTTGGATAAATGGCTCTATATTTACGTCGATCTGTGCTATATACTATGACAGACCTCAGTGAATTTGGAGAAAGTCGATGGGGGGGTTACTAGATGTACATATAAAATAATATCTTTATACCTCCTCTGCAGCCGGTTCCTGCGATATCTCCTCTCTACTTCCTCCAACTCACCTCTCAGCTTTTCACTCTTGCATCACTTCTTGTTTATACACCTACATCACTTCCTGCCTGTACCTTACATCACTTCCTGTAGGTTTCTTCCATGTGAGATCACCACCTTGTGTTGAATATAAATACTGCAGTCTTCGTTACGTGTCATCATTGTGCTCGCTGCCTTGTGGTCTATTCCTCTATTACGTTACATCCATGACTAAAATACCACCTGGGAGACTCCATTTTACAAAGCTTACAAGGAGTTTTATTTTAGTCTCGTGACTGTCATTTGGTCAATGCACAGGCAGACGTCACCATTGAAGCACATCTCTATAAAAGCATAACTTCAGCGCACTTTTAAAACGGCGCTTTGAAAGAAGGCTCTGAATAGATAGTGCCAAAATGTACTCCTCTCAATGACTACAAGTTACCTCTCTTCTATAACCTGCTGTGCTCCTCCCACTCTGCCTCATCTCCCTCTTCCGTCAGCATGCTGTCTCTTCCACTCCTTCTCACAGTAGTGTCCTCCATCTTTAAACTCTCACTCCTTCACCCCTCTTCTCCCCTCCCCCGCATATTCATATCACCCTCACTCCTGCCCTCTCCCTATTACTGCACTTATCAACTTCTGCTTATCATAAACCCACATGCTGGCATAGCCTCCAGAATTTTAGAGCAGATGCACTGCTGAAAATGTAGCTATCATCTTACTTCTCTCACACTTTTGCTTCTCTTGCTCTCCGGGGACATTTCCCCTAATCCTGGTCCCCCGCAATCTAGGTCTATTCAGCACACCACACACCCCTCTTCCTCTGGCAGCAGCTGCAATCCAAGTAATCTCATTCCTATATCTCCGCTCTCAAGATCCAGTCCCCCCTTTTCATGTGGCCTCTGGAATGCTCGCTCAGTCTGTAACAAGCTCCCCTCCATCCATGACCTCTTTTATCTCCTACTCCTTTAACCTATTTGCTGTTACTGAAACCTGGCTTCAGGATTCTGACTCTGCCCTTTCCCATGGTGGCCTCCACTGGACTCCCTCCCCCAGATCCAATCTGGGGGAGGCACACTCTCTCATCTGCCCCCCAATATTCCAACCGCCACCCATAGGAACCTTCGCCACCTTAACCCCTCTGCAACAGACCACCTTTATGACAAATTCAAAACCCTTTTCTGCCCTGACCTTGCCACTTCTCTCTACAATAACTCACTCTCATCCTGTATGGACACACTTGCCCCTTTCACCTCTCATATAATCAGGCCCCGTCCTCTACAGCTTTGGCTGACAGATGACACTAGAAGACTGAGAAGACATAGTCGGGCACTTGAGCGTCAATGGTGTAA